AGACAAAAATAATATTAACAAGAACCTTAGCATCGACATCCATAAAAACTGGCTTCAATTATTAAAATAAAATAGAATGTTTATACAGTCGCAGGCGAGGCTGTGTGCAACACTCGGAGAAGGGTAATGTTACAAATTACGAGGCATGCGGGGGAGTCCGTCAAGTCGGGAAAAAAGAGGGGAGGGGAAGGGAGCGGGAAGTACGGACACACAAGTCACAACTATCGACGTAACAGACTGAAGAGGGGCGAAAGCCCGAAACGCGTTTCTGTAAGAAGTAAATGTAGGTGATGGAATTATTTGCCAAGTGTCTATAAATGCACCAAGTCGTGACATAGAATCAGAAGAAACAAGAAAAAGAAGACACGGTTTCGACAAATAACTAAAACAATATCATTTTTTACATCAAAAATGACATCATGGAGGGCTTGCATGATTGCTGCAAGAGGTAATCATGATGTCATGGATATTTGTCAGCTATGTATGATTTAATGACATGGCAATCTGCAAGTTGCTATGACCTTGACTGCTTATCTTTGTAAAGATATAGCCTATTATCTTCAATAATTTAAATATTTTTGCCTTTATTTTATGCCTGAAAATACATAAAATCATCTTCTGGTTCTTCTGAGAAACACTTCCCGTCATTTATTTACCGCTGAATTTGTTTCACATTAGCTTATGCTATTGCAAAATTTCAAGGTCAAAGACCTTATTTTGTAAACTAAACAACATATGATGATGAAATTTGGTATGTGTGGAGAAGACATGTTACAGGATTATTCAGAATCATCAAATTCAAGACATGCAGCATAATTGTGTGAAAAATCAGCAGAAAATTGCTGCCACGTGCATGTGATCACAGGTTAAAATATTAGTATATCCTGATTGAATATTAGCTTCATTCTTAATGAAATTTGTAACCTTCATTAATTAATACTCCAACTTTAAATAACACACTCAAATAACAAATAAGACATTCTTTTATTGAAGTCAAAAGAATATTGTGGATCTATTAATTATTTCTTCTTTGATTATAATAACTTAGTTATAAGTAGTATTTTGTGTGTTATTTGAAATTTCTATTAGAATTAAATATTTAATTTATAATTTTANTTGCTAGGAAGACCAGTTAATTTCAATATTTTTAATAAAATACAAAAATAATTATCAAAACAAATAAAAATATAACCAGAAAAGTATAAGAAAATTTAAATGAAGAAATGGCAAAATATTGAACTCTTATTAGCCCATATTTTCTTAACATTCAATTCTTATTAACAAGCCATGTTTAGAGACTTGGGGGAAAAACTACAGGGTGATTCAAAAGCCACAGAAATTTTAAAAAATTAATAACTCACAAACTATTTACAGTAAGATGATGCAGTTTTAGAATACAGAAATGCTTAGAAAAAAGTGGGATTTTTTTAGGTGTAATAAAAATTTTAGTACCAAAATAGTTACATTTCTTGTCATTAGATGATGCTTGATAAGATTACATAATTTGTGTAGTTGTTACTAGAGCTTACACTAAGAACATTTTATTTTTTTTTATTGTTATTTTAACAAATTACAAATGTTCAATGTGGTGTGCATTGTTCATGAGCACAGCTGTTAGACAAGGTACGACACTACGAACAGCATTAAAGAGCATTTTAGTTGGTATTACTGAAACTTCATGTTGATTAGAGTTCTTTAACATGGCTAATGAAGTTATCTGATGTCTGTACACCTTTGACTTCAAGTAGCCCCAATAACCAAAAGTCACATGGTGAAAGATCTGGAGACCTGGTAGGCCACTCATTCAGAAAAAAGTGACTGAGGACATGATTTTCTCCAAAGGTTGTCATAAGCAGATATTTGACTGGGGCAGCAATGTGTGGAGGTGCTCCATCTTTGCTTGAATGTTACACAGTTGAGTGCTTGCCTGCTTTCAGTTTTCTGCAGTGCCATCTAATTGCAGGAAATGTAACTATTTTGGTACTAAAATTTTTATTACACCTAAAAAAAAATCCCATTTCTTTCTAAGCATTTCTGTGAAAACTGCATCATATTACTGTAAATAGTTTGTGAGATTAATTTTCTAAAATTTCTGTGACTTTTGAATTATCCTGTATATCTCAATTATTTCTTTTGCAGATTCTGTTTAGAAATTCTTAAACTAATCAATTAATAATTTTAATATATTTTTTTTATAAAATTANTAAACATACTGCTGATAAATGCATAGGAAAGAAGAAGAAGGAAAATAAGAAAACACCTTGGCTGTCACACAAATCTATAGAAATTGCAAACACTTGGAGACAAATGAAAATTATAGGAGATCATCAAACAATTAAAAAATTAACTGCAGAGTTCCAAAGACAGGCTAGGAAGGACAAAGAAGAATATTTTAATAATAAATGCAAAGAAGTTGAATTAAATAATGCAAAAGGACATACAAGGGATCTCTTCAAAAAAATTAAAGAGGTCGTTGGAAAATTTACCCCTAGGCTTGGTATTTTAAAGAACACACATGGAAAATATTTAATGGAAGAAAGTGAAATAAAGAGAAGATGGAAAGAATATACAGAACAGCTTTATAAAGCAGATAATAATATAGAAGAAATAATTGAAGGAAGACATTTTACTTTGGAACCATCAATTTTGAAGGAAGAAGTGGAATGGGCAATCAACCAAATTTCAATTGGGAAAGCAGCAGGAACTGACGGAATTCCAGTGGAACTGCTCAAAGCAGCTGGAGAGGAAGGAATTAGAATACTAACAAAGCTATGCCAACAAATATGGGAAAAGAAGGTTTGGCCAAAGGAGTGGAAGCAATCCATTTTTATACCAATCCCAAAAAATGGCAATGCAAGAGAATGTTCCAACTATAGAACAATCGCACTAATTCCCCATGCAAGTAAGATTCTGTTAAAAATAATACAGAAGAGAATTGAGCCATATTTAGAAAGAGAATTGCCACTGGAACAGGCTGGATTTAGAAAGGGAAGAGGAACTCGCGATCAAATTAGCAACATCAGATGGATTCTAGAAAAGGCAAAAGAGTACCAGAAGGACGCCTTCTTTTGTTTTATAGACTATAGTAAAGCCTTCGATTGTGTGGATCACTCCAAGTTATGGAAAGTACTCAGGAGCATGGGAATTCCTGAACACCTTATATCTTTATTGATGAGTCTTTACAATGAACAAGAAGCAAAAGTAAGAACTCTATACGGAGAAACTGAATGCTTTAAAATTGAGAAAGGGGTGCGACAAGGCTGCATTTTGTCTCCATATCTGTTTAACTTATATACTGAATATATCATGAGAATGGTTACTACAAATGAAGA